ATATTTTATATATATATATATATAGTACCTGGTATGGTGTAATTTAAGAATAATAATAATAATAATAATAATAATAATAATAATAAAAAGAAACCAAGGGAGACTTGTGATATTATATATCTACACTTTGTCCTACAAAGATGAAGAAAAAAATAAGAAGAAGAAGAAGGAGAAAAAATAATAATAATAATAATAAAAAAAAGGAAAAAAAGAAGAAGATGAAAAAAAAAAAAAAARAAAAGGGGGAGAAGAAACCAAACCGCAGGTCATAATATTCGTCGTTGATTATCTCTTCTTCCATTTCTTCTTCTTCTTCTTCTTCCCTTTCCCTTTCCCTTTTTCTCATTTCCCCACGGCACGATGATACACAAACATCCCCCTTTTCTTTTTTTTTTTCTTTTTTCTTTTCGTCGTTCATTCGAGAGAAAAACAACACAACGACACACAACGATGAAAGAAAATTTCTACTCGTGAACTGTTAAACTCATATCTCAGAATACTAGGAACCCCCCCACCTCCTCCACCCCATACACATACACCGTTGTGTTGTTGTATTTGTTGTTGATCCTCTTTTTTTTAATTTGACGAATTTTTGTTGTTGAAATATTCCCCCCGTTACCTTGGATGGTTTGATTTTAATTTATTTTTTGTTTTGTTTTGTTTTTTTAAACACGCCTCGATCGCGACATAATTGTATCTCCCTTCTTCTTCTTTTTCTTTTGTTCCTTTCTCTCTCTCTCTCTCTTTCTTTCTTTATGTATATATATATATATATATGATATTACTATTATTATTAATCTTATCTTTCTTATTTCTTTTTTTCACATTTTGAATATTCTCAGCCGAGCGCATAAACAAAATGAGCATGATGAAATTCTCTTGTTCTTACCCTCTCTTTCTCTCTTTCTTTTACCTGCTATTAATTTTTTTTTTTTATTCCCTGTCTCTCTCTCTCTTTGTCTGTCCATCTGTCTGTCTGTCTTTCTCACTCTCACACACATATTCTTGTTCTATTATTAGATCTACCGAAAAGTTCTGTTCGTTTTTTTTTGAATTGAAAAAACATAACACACACACACACACGTACACATAAATAATTTTCATATGTTTAATAATATTTATTTGTAGAATATACTTTCCCCATTGTTAATTATGATTTTTTCTTATGTGTTTTTTTTTCAGCAACAACCTTCTTCGTCATATATGTTTGAAATAATTATCAACATGTGTCACATTGATTGAAATTTGAATTGACAGAATTATTGAACAGAATTTTTCCGATAGATCTGATATTTTTTTCTTCACCTCCCTTTTTGATCCTTTCTATCTATTTATTAATCCTTCAAAACCTCCCCCTCACCCTCCTACTCCTACTCCTTTTATCTTTTCGTGAGAGTCGAACAATCGAAATTACGAATTTGAATGTATTGGATTGTTCGGTAAGTTCGTGCCGATATTTTCGAACGTTGGTCATTTTTTGTTTTCAATAATTCTGATATATTAAGTCAACCTCTCTCTCGCTGGTACTTATCAAAAATTCGGCACGAATTTTTTTCGGACAACCCAATATCATTATTATATTGTTTCCTATTTTTTGAAGTGAAAAAAAGAAAATTAATTTTATGATTATGATTTTGTTTGGTGTTTTTTTTTTTTTAGATATTATAACAAATATGGTGGGGGGTGCATTTTAAAATCTCGCGAACGGGAAATAAAATTTGTTGTTTCGTTTCGTTTCATTTCATTTTTTCCTCATCTCGTAATTAATGTTCATTAAAAATTTGAGTTTATGCAAATTTGGGGATACGGGTTTTGCGTCGAACGTAGAAAACACATGTTCGATCGAGAAAGACGTTTTTCGAATATTATTTTGTTTAATTTTATAATAATCGAACATCTGGTTTGTTTTTTTTTTCTTTTTTTCAATCGATCTCGTCTAAAAATCATCGATGGTTTGTTTCTTTCTCTCTCTCTCTCTTTCTCTTTCTTTCTTTCTTTCTTTAAATGCAATGTGGGTTTTTACAATATTTATATATACATATATATATATATAATATGTGTAATAAATGCATGTTGGAATAAAAGTATCGATGATTCAAAGAAATTTGTAAAATCTAATTTTCATTTGCAAATGTTTGTTTAGAATATTATCCGATTTATATGATATCATCATGAAAAAAAAAGAAAAAAAGGTTTGTTTTAAAACATATTGTGGAATGTATTTACGATTTAATAATATTAAATAAAAAATTGCAACAAAAATATGCATTTTTTTGTTTGTTTTGTTTAAATACGAAAACACGTATACCGATCGAATCTTATTCGTTTTCGCGTTCGACGATTATTTATTTAAACAAATAGAGAGAGACAGAGACAATCTTATTTTATACAACACGAAAGATCCAAAAATAAAGAAAATAAAAATGTGCGGCAGTCTTTCTCACAACGTGTTTAAGAAGGATATTTAAAAATAAAAAAAAAAGAACATATCATACGTATACAAAAAAAAGATAACAATGATTCACACAATTGTTTAAACGGGGGTGCCAGTTAATCGAAAATTTACGAGAAAACGATTCGTGCAAATGAATGAATGAATGAATGAATTAATGAATTAATGAATGAATTAATGAATGATCATTCAATGAATAAATGTATATATGTAAATATATTGTTAATAGTATATATATATACATGCATACAAAGCATGAAAAGTATATGGTAAAATGGCAATCAGTATATTTCGAAAATAAGCGAGGCACACGTAGAAATTTATTTGACATTAACAGGAGACGACACATCGTGATATTATAAAAATGATTAAAAAAAAATGATTGAAAAGAAAAAATTAAAAAAAAAAGAAAAAAGCCTAAGAGAAGAAGAAAGTTAAAGAAGTAAAAAGGAACAACGATGAATAAATGTAATATACAACATTCAAGTGGTACAATGGTTTCTTCGATTATTTCTCTCTCTCTCTCTCTCTCTCTCTTTCTCTCTTTCTCTTCATTATATATTTTCATACTAAACACGGGAAAGATAAGCACAAGGATAAAGAACAAAGATTAAATAATTAAACCACACGATATTAAATCGTTTTTTTTTTGTTTTGTTTTCTGTCCCTTTCCCATCATATTTTCTTTCTTTCTCTTTTTTTTTTTTTTTAAATCACCATCTCTCTCTCTCTCTCTCTCTCTTTCTTTTTATGCACATTCCATTAAACCTGTGTAAGTGTGAAAAATTTTTAATACGATTTTTCTGTATCCACGCGTAAGAGTGTAGTATGTGATAGTTAATAATGTGTACACGTGTGTTGTTGTTGTTGTTGTTGTTAATGTTAATATAATAAAGATTTTTATTCTTATCCAAAATTTTGTTTAATATTATAACTAAGTTTACTTCTTAGGTAAGTTATTTTAATTAGATGAACAATCTATTTATCAGTTGAACGTTTCCGTCTCTATTTTGAGACTTCCTCAGCAACTTAAATTCTTGTTAATGTTTATGAAAATTTGACGTACGTGTGTATATCGGCGGTTTCGGTGCTCTCTCCCTCTCTCTCTCTCTCTCTGTTGCAACAATTTACAAACGCGCGCGAATATATATATATTAGAATTTATTTTCTAATAGAATGTAAGAATTTAGTTAAATTCATTTTTAAATCGAGTCGTTTAACGTGACCGTCTCCTCTCACGGATATTGTTTTTGCTTTTTTTTTTCTCTCTTTTTTTTTTTCTCTCCAATCCCTTCCCCTATCCCCTACCCCTTCCTCCTCAACCTCCTCCCGTTATTACATTTTGTCTCGTGTTTCTTTCTTTCTTTCATTTGTTTTTTTTTTTGTGTTTTCTTTTTTAACTTTTCATTTTTTTTAGTACTGTTATCAGAGAGTATCGATATTAATTAATTAATTAATTAATTAATTAATATAATAATTGTAGTTCACAATATAATTATAATACACCATCCTAAAATACGGTCAAATTACTGCAATTTATAGCAGCAATTCCGAGGCACTACGAACAGGCCACAGAGAATATGGCCGCACAATTATCATCATCATCATCATCATCATTTCATCATCTTTCAGATCTCTGTGTCTAAATGATAAAAGACTAACTGTCGAACGCCTAATAATACGTAATCGTAATTATACTTATGCATCTCGAGTTATCTAGATATAGATATATCATTATTATTATATTATAT